TATTTGTTTCTCAATAAAATTATTTTAAAAAGATTACATGTGTTTAGGGGGATATTAATTCAGGCTCCTTTTGGAGAGTTTCTTGGAAAGAGCCACATCCCACAGATCATAAGAGCATTTGCCTCGAGAAATGCAATTCCTATTATTTCTTCTACCTGACATGCTATCTCATATCATGCATCCATTGATTGCCTTAATTTCAACTTAATAGATTCTCACATGTAGTTTAAGTTCCATCATAAAAATCTACTTCATCTAACCTGTGTTTCTCTTTATGCAATGATGTAGTTCCAACTTTGTTAGTGTAATCTCACTTCTGCTGTTAGTCACAGCTCATTTAAGTTACTTATCATACACTTGTTGAAAGCTTTGGGGTACTATAAAATGACAGGAAAGATTTTACTTAGATATATACATATATGCATACATGCACATAGGCTATACGTCACATATGTGGAACTTCTGTTGAAAATTAACCCTTGTTTTAAAAGAGCATTTGTGAGGGCTGGTGAGATAGCTCAGCGGATTAAGCACCTGCTTTGGCAAACTAAGGACCAGGGTTTGATCTCTGGTCCCGCATACCATGCCGGCCCCGCCCTCGAGGCGCACTGAGCTGGTGACCAAGCCCATGCATGGTGGCGCACACCTGCAATTTCAGCTCTGGGGAGGCTGAACATAGGTTGACCACTATGAGTGAGCTCCATAGTGAGACCCTGTACCAAACACATAAACGAAAAGAATAAAAAAAAAGTATTTGTTTGGGCTCTTCCATAAATATGTATTAATTTACCTTAAGATATATATTTGTAAAGATATACACACATAAATGGTACAAACCTCGAGCTTGTGAAATACATGCTACTTGATTCACAAATAACTGTAGCACTGGTTTCAGCTAAAGCAAATGTCCCAACAGATTTACAACCAGTTTAAACTGTAATAGGACAGAGTGGCTAAGAGAAGGGACTTTGGTTTTAGAAAGCTAATCACAAAGTCCATTCCACAATTGATCAGCGACATTACCTTCCCTTATGTCCAGCAGGATGGTTACTTCTCCATAAAATAGACCTCATGGTGATATATGCATAAAAGGATTATTGAGAATATTAAATTAAGGAATAGAAGTTAGGCTTTAAATCTCAGCTTTACTAAATATTTGGATTCACAAGACTACTATAAGTCCCACTTGACACCAGTGCGCTTAGAAGGATAAGGAACAGGAGCCAAAATTTGTCCTCACTACAGTATTAGACATTTCTCGTCTGGTGAGGATCCTCCTAGAAATCCATGCAGCATAGCTCAGGTGTGAAAGGATGAGTTTTGTAGGAGGTAGGTCTGGGAGCTGCCCTGGCTTAAAACGCTGATGCTACACTCAGGAGAAGAGCCAGAGTCTCTTCAAGTAGTCCTGTAATCCCAATCTCCAAGTGGCCACAAGGCACCAGGGTGTTCCAAGAGCTGCCCAAAGCTAAGTCTGGCCACCAAATACTGACACTTTCTCCACAGAAGGTGAAATTTCCCCAAAGGCATCATTTCTTTTGTCTTT